TTCCTTTGAGAAAAAGGATGTGAGGTTCCAGCTGTTCTGTCGGGACTGAATGTCTTACTTTATTTATGTATTCAATTATTCATTCATGTGCTCATTTATTTTAAATATTTCAAATTATATCCTACTGGGCCTTTCGCTCACGTTTTATATTTCAAATGTCTAAAACCTCTCCCAGGAGACTCTAGGAGCGGGGCACAGTAGCGGGAGTAGCTGAGTGGTGCTACGGAACAATCAAGTGAGGATTGTGTTCATCCTCTGACATAAAGTGTAAGGAATATGTAAGAATTTGTAATAAATGACATTTGAATTTACTAGACTGTGGATGATGTCTATTGTAATTGATTATTTACATGTGCATGTATGTACGATACTGTATGTCCTGTGGGGTGGAGCCCTGTGTGTCAGAGGCTCCTGGATTATGTCGTTTATTTATATTTTTATGCAGTTAAGTGTGGGACCCGGTTGGAAATCTGCTCTATAAATCCCAAATCGAGTTTCACGTCACCCACCCCGTTTGGGGGGCGTGACACAAAGACACCCTTAGAGTTGTGAAATGGTCGAAAGCTAGTTTTGAAGCATATTCGCATATGGGGGTGTCCGGCTCATGTGATGAAACAATAGACTGGGAAGTTAGAACCAAGATCAGAAATATGCATATTATGTGGGATATGCAATGGGGACAAGAGAAGGATTATTTTATATAGTCACAAGAATCAAAGGGTATTTGTATCAACAAATGCCACGTTTTGGGAGCATGGCTATATGATAGTTTTCAAGCCCAGAAGCAAAGTAGCTATGGAAAAGTTACTTTCCAATAAGATTGGATCGCAACCGACAAGAGTTGTTGGAACGCTAAGAATGACCACGATTCCTAATCAAACTCTTGTGGCACCTCATTGTAGTGGGAGGGTAAGCGAGTTACCTGACCGGTATACTGAGGAAGCACAGATAGTCACTGCTGATGACAGTAAGGAGGATCCGTTGACCTTTAAGGCTACGATGGATTATTTTGATAAGGAAAAGTGGCTAGCAGCTATGAAACTCGAGATAGAGTCCATGTACTCCAACTCAGTCTGGCAACTTGAAGATCTACCTGAAGGGGTAAAACCCATTGGTTGCAAGTTGATCTTCAAGAGAAAGAGATGAGCGGATGGAAAAGTAAAGACTTATAAAGCAAGGCTAGTGGTTATGGGTTACACCTAGAAAGAGGGAGTTGACTATGAGGAAACTCTCTCACTGGTAGCCATGCTTAAGTTCATCCGGATACTCTTTGCCATAGCAACATATTTTGAATATGAGATATGGCAGATGGATGTCAAGACAGCTTTTATGAATGGCTATCTTGAGGAAACCATCTATATCGATCAACCAGAGGGTTTCATAGAGAAAGGCCTAGAGCAGAAAGTCTACAAACTGTAGAGATCCATTTATAGATTGAAGCAAGCTTCTAGATCATGGAACATCCGGTTTGATAAGGCTATTAAGTCTTATGGATTTGATCAAAATCAAGATGTTTCAAATGAAAGAAAAGTAGATGTTCTTATTCTTATGGATTTGATCAAAACCAAGATGTTTCAATTGAAAGAAAAGAAGATGTTCTTATTCTTTATAAGCCTGAATATCTGATATTCAGTGGGAGTGGTCAGTCGTTCTCAGTTGAACTCAAGATTCGATCATTGGGTAGCCGTTTAGTGCATCCTTAAGTGTATGAGAAAAATAAGAAACTATAAGATAGTTTAGTTAGTGAAAGAGTTATCTTTCGCGAGATGCATAGACTTTGACTATGAGTCATAACAAGAAAGGTTGTTGGCAAAGTGTGATTACTAATTCTATCATTAAGAGTTAATGTGTAGCAGCTTGTGAAGCAGCAAAAGAAAGCAACCTGACTCTAGAAATTCTTAACTGATCTGGAAGTTGTTCCAGACATAGATCAGTCATAGATACCTAGAAAGTTTCAGGATTGGAGACATATTCTACCTACTTTAGGACAAGTGGGAGATTGTTGGAAATAGTGTCCTAAAAGCATAAGATGTAATAGGATATTTATTATTTATTTAATAAAAGAGTTTATTCATCATTTTATGTGTATATATTTGTGAATATTTTATGAATATCAATGAAAATTCAGTGATTATTTATGTAACCTTAAACATTGTATATAAGTGTTATATACGAGAGGATAATGTTTAAGGATAATAATCAAAAAGCAATGTTCATAATGAATTTAATTAAAGTTCAGAATCTTTAATTAAAACATTATTAATACATGTCATTC